ACAAAATTCTGAATGTTCAGATTTCAAAGTAGTGTAGCTCTACAGTTATATTTATGGGTTGTATGAAAGCTGAGAGAAGCTGCTGTGAGTTGCTTAGAAAACATTCTCTGATATACTAAAATGAGTCATCTATGCCAGGGGTCAACAACCTTGAAAGAAAACAAATTGTATACTAAAAATCAAACATTGACAATAACACATTTTAATTTTATTTTTAAAAATATTTTTGTCCTGATTTGTGTGTTTGTGGTGTATTTATATAGAAATGACTGAATAATAGCTCAAAGTGAGGTCTTACTCTTGTATATTGTAGGGGAGCGTGGAGGGGTAAGGGGTATGGTGTTTGTGGGGGCCTGTGTATGTGAGGTGTTTATGGATGTGGGTGGGTGGGCATGGGGGGTTTGTGGTGGGGATGTGTGGGGTATGTGGAAGGGGAGGGTGGCTGGGGTGTGGGGAGGATGAGTGTGGTGTGCTGGGGAGGTCTATGGATGTGTGTGGAGGGTGCATGGGGGTTTGTGGGGGGGAAAGGTGTTGGCTACAGTATTTCTGGGATGTGTGATTGTGTGTGGTGGGGAGGCTGTGGTTATGGGGTTTACTGAGGGAGGGTTTGTGGGTATGGTGGGGTATGCATGGGAGCCCCTCATGCACGCCCCCCCTGAGCCAGTCAGCACGTGCACCACAACAGCCCAGAGCCCACACACCCTGTGATGCCTCCCCGCACCACCAGCAGTGCGCAGCCCCAGTGCACCCCATGCCCACTCCAGATTCACCCCAGGCAGAGTGGATCAGTGGGAACTGGGCACAGCCCCAACCTGGCTCACCCGTGGTATGTCCAGCTGCTCCTGGGCATACAGCGGGGCTGGGATAGCTCCACAACCGGAGTGCCTTTCTAGGCAGCCTGGGTGGAGGTGGCTCCTTTGGGCTGTCACCGGCCTAGCCCTGCAGTATAGGTAAGGACCTGCTTTGCACAGCCCCAGCCCTGCATGCTCTGTGCCTGCTCTGGGATTGCCCACTCAAGCTCGGCAGTGGAGGTGCCAAACAGAAGCTGTTGCTTGGCGTTTCCCTGCTGCAGTTGCCCAGAGCCTGTGCTGGGCTGTCCTGCATTTGTGCCGCCATTGCTGTCGCCCCCAGGCTGCCCTGCAGAGCAGTAGTGGCAGTGCAGAGCAGACATGGGGCAGCTCAGCATGGGCTGTGCACAGCTGCAGCAGGGAACTGGTGGCAGCAGGATGGGGAGGGGCTTCTTTTTCCTCCACACTGAACAACAGCTTCTGTCTCTGCTGCTGAGCCCTGGCAGGCGAATGTGGCACAGGTGCAGACTTAAGGCTATTGCAGCACGGGTCCTTACCAGTATCACGGTGTGGTGACAGCAGCCAGAAGGAGCTGCCCCTACTTGGGCTGCCTAGAAAGGCAATCCAGCTGTGGAGCCACCCCAATTTTGCTGTATGCCCAGGGGGTGGCAGGATGCACCATGGCTGGACTGTGCCTGGGTCAGGTGGGACTGAGGGTCCCTCTGGGGGCCACATTTTGCCCACCCCTGCTCTAGCTTATGTGATGCCCTTCACTGGGAATGTGCACTTGGGCCAGGCTGTTGGTAGTTTGGGTAGTCCCACGCCTGGTTTGAGATGCATATTTTTTTTCCTTCCCTTGTCCCTCCCCATTTTGTATTCCCAGTGCAGTGACTATCTTATCTGTTTGGCAGTATTATTGGCCTGGCCATAGAAGGCTTATTTATTCTGGTCAGCCTGCCAGATATTTCCTAAAGAGCTTTTTATCAAATAGGAGCCCTGAACTGCAGCACAGCTAGTGGAAAGTCTCACTGCATGAGGACTGACAGCCATTGCTTTAGTTTCTGTATTTGTTCCTTTTTGTTCTTTAACAGCCTCATTTAAGCTGACTTCAGAAACACAACAGATGCTTTATTTTCTTTTGTTCAAAATATTTTTCTCCTCTCTGCTTCTTTCCTCTCTAGTACTGAATAAAAAAGGACATAATCTAGACCAGGGATTGTCAAACAAGGTTGGCTGTCCTATCACATGGATGTACCAAATATGACATGATAAAATCATGTAGAATTTAACCTTTAATTTAAAATGGAGTTTCTAGCCCTCTTAATACAAAGAAAAAATTTCCAGTTGAGAATTTGAGGTGGTGTTGCTGCCTTAGGTCTGCAAACAGATTTTGGAGTTGTGCACTTCTGTCCTTTTACCTCATTGCATAGGTGAAAATGATAACTTTGCAATGTAAAAAGAATTATTACATTGCTGTTCATTTTAGTGGATGAAATGGAAAGGGCATGAGAATGTGAATTTGGAATTTCTGTAGGAAAGGAAATGAAGAGGAGAAACTAAGACAAGGAAGATTGAGTGTGATAAGGAGGATTGACAATGGAGGCGGGGAGGAAAAAGACATCTCTTGAGCCAGAGAAGCACATTTTCTCACTAAGTGATGCAGAATGAGACAGAAAACATTTAATAGAAGATGACTAAATTTAGATTTTAGCTTGGCTTTTTTACAAATTTCCCACTGATATCAGTGGGTATTCTGGTGTCAGTGGCAGGAAATATGCCATTCTGGTGTTTTATAGTCCAAGAACCACAGTTAATGTGGAATTCAGTACTTCTCACTACATGAATTTGACATCCCTGACCTAGACTATAGCAGAGAAATAAACTACTGTCTAAAATATGAGCAGTTGCCTTGCTTCTCTAAGTTGCATAAGGACCAGCTCAACATGAATCAGACAAGTGGCGGTAGCATGCAACGGTGCCTTGACCATTACAACATTTGGTTGCAGGGTGGGATTTGAGCTAGTGTTTCAAACCAGCCTCCTTTTTTTATTTTACTGCAGTTAGTTATTTGACTTCTAAGGACATGTTGAATTATTTTATTTATCGCCTTTTTGTTAGTTTCAGGTTTATCTGTATGCCAGATGTAGTAATGAAAATTATACCAAAAGATTTCAAACTAATCTGTACATGTTTATGGTGATGCAGAAGTTGATAATTCTTTAAAATTACAAAACTAAAGTTAATACGTTCCAATATATAGTATGGGCTCTACTGTGCTTGAAACAATGAGACCTTTTTTTTTTTTAAAGCAAGACATTTTTAATCATATAGGATTGTTCATAGTTGACATTTAAACTATCTGTTTTCAAAAAGTCTCAGATAAGAACTGGGCTATTTTTTATATTTTATGTTCATAGTTTGAAGGAAAAAAAAAAAGGAAAAGTAGTATTTGAATTGAAAGCAATACCCTTGAAAATGAAGGGAAGGCACTTTGTGCCCAAAAGCTTGTCTAACATCTTTCCTGACTATAGTTGATCCGGTAAAAGATACCACCAAAAATCCCCATTGCTTCTTAAGAACTAAACAAGGATCTAAGCCTTTACACTAGGGGGCACTCATACTTCATGAAATCAAAAGCAGATCTTTATTGTATCAGTAGTATTCACTTACTAACTAGATGAGTTTATTTTTTTGTAATAAGGCCCAACAGTTTTCACTTTTAATCAGGCTTTTTCTGTGTAAAAATGAGAACTAAAAAGCCAATAAAAAGTATCAGCAAGTTAATGATCATATATAGTTAAACACTAATTTCATAGATTTCATAGACATCAGGGCTGGAAGGGACCTTGGAAGATCGAGTCCAGCCCCCCGCCCAAAGGGCAGGAAGTCAGCTGGGGTCATAGGATCCCAGCAAGATAAGCATCCAGTTTCATCTTGAAGGTGTTCAATGAAGGCGCTTGAACCACCTCTGGTGGCAGGCTGTTCCAGACCTTGGGGGCTCGGACAGTAAAGAAGTTCTTCCTTATCTCCAGCCTGAAACGATCTTGAAGTAGTTTGTGACCATTCGACCTCGTCATCCCTTGGGGCGCTCTGGTGAACAAACGTTCCCCCAGATACTGGTGGTCACCCCTGATAAACTTGTAGGTGGCCATCAGATCACCCCTGAGCCTGCGCTTTTTCAGGCTAAAGAGCCCCAGGGCTCTCAGCCTGTCATCGTAGGGTCTGCTTCCCTGACCTCTGATCATGCGCGTGGCTGTTCTCTGGACTCTCTCAAGCTTCTCCACATCCTTTTTGAATTGTGGAGCCCAAAACTGGACACAGTACTCCAGCTGCGGCCTCACTAAGGCCGAGTACAGGGGGAGAATGACGTCCTGGGATTTGCTTGAGAAGCATCTATGGATGCAAGCCAGCGTTTTGGTCGCTTTACTAGCCGCCGCATCGCACTGCAGGCTCATGTTCATCTTGTGGTCAATGATGACCCCCAAGTCTCTTTAAATAATGATTTATGTAGGCTCTGTTCCATGCTGATCACTATTGTCACTGAGAGATGCTTTTAATTTGATAAATTTGGTTTGCTTGAAGCCAGCAGAAATATGAAGCAAAACGGTTAGGTACTGTTTCATTAAAAAAAATTAACTTAATATTCTGGTATTTTTTAATAAAAGAAGTATTTTGTTTAGAGATGAGGAACCATATTTTAACAATCATGCATATAATATCCATAATTTCAAATTATGGCATTCTGCGTAGATTAGGCTTCAAAGTACTCAATATCTATTAGTGTTGTATAAAAAAAATTGAGGGTCTGAATTTAAACTGACTGGTAAATACGGCATAGCTTATCCCATTTTTGAGGGGTAAATTATTTCATGACTACTGTAGAATTAGTGTGTGCACTTGGGCAACTGCCATGGAGTAGCTGACATGCTGTAAATTCACACTCTAGTTTACCTTGCAGTAACTTGTTTGTCTACCCCCTGCCTCAAATAAGTTAGTTTATCATTGTTGTCTTGTTGGGTTGTTTTGATGTATGTAGTATATTGTTAAATAGACAATCCAGATGTTGGTGTTTTGAGTCTAAAGGCTGGTCCTTAATATTGTTAAGGTTTTGCTGCACTTGGTGTTTATGCATTTTATACATTGAATCCTTACAATTTTGATTTCTAAGACATCCACACAAGCTGTTTCTGATTTCTTTTTATTCTTTTGTAGGAATGATTACTCTGTTGCCTTGGAGATGAAATGATGATGATCCTGCTGTTGTAAATGTAGGGCAGAAGACTTAATGGTGTGAGCAGTATGGACCTAATGAATGGGCAATCGAGCAATGTTAATATTGCAGCTATTGCTTCAGAGGTAAGAATTGCAAGGCTACACTCCCTTTTTCAGATAGTCGCTTTACAGTCATAACATATATTGAGATCTAAGAAGACTTCACCCAAAATTTAAGCATTTTTTTTGTCTTTCTACAGAGTTGCATCACATAGCAGATTCATTAATATACCTTGGATCTATTGTTTTAATGTGTGCAGTTTCATTCACTACGGGTTCAGATTTCTGAACCTTTAGAACATTTACTAGTAGAAAGTATGAACCAGCATTAACCTGCACTGTGTTCCTTTATGACTCTAGAAATGATGGAGGCCCTTCTGGATTTTTTTGTGCATAACTGCTGTGTATCTGCATGGCCAAAGTTATAAAAAGAGTCTTGTTGAATACTTGCCTCCTAAAGTTCCAATTTATTATATTTTAAAAAGAAAGTATCCCAGTACAGGCACGTCTCATCTTATGTGGGGGTTACGTTCTAAAGGCCACGCATAAGGCGAAAATCGCGTATAGTGAAATAGCATATTACTGTGCCAGCGGTGACTGCCTCTGCCTCCAAAACCTCCCGTTGCTGCTGTGGAGCCGTGCTTAGAGCTATGTAGCTGGTGGCACTGGCACACCGCGGGGTGGTGGTGGGGATGGCTGCATGCCGTCCGGCCACCACCACACCCGGAATTTTTTTTAAATGCATATGCTGTAAACTCATCTAGAATTCAGTAAAACATTTGATAGTGTCACATGGAAATATTTAAACTGAAGAAGAGGGTATCAGTGATGGAACAGAGAGGTAGACAAGGAATTGGTGAAAGGAATTATAACAACCATGTTGAAAAGAAAGTATTAGGTTGGAAGAAGGCCACTAATGGAACCTCTTGAGAATTTGTCCTGAAACTGGTCTTTACCATTTTCATTGATGACCTTAGTGCAAAGAGTAGGAGTGTGGTAATGAAAGTTGGGAGGCATTGTAAATATAGAGGAGGACTGAATGACCTTGAGGATTTGGTGTATTAGAAATAGGAAATTTAGTACATGACCTTGCATACTACACTAATAACAAGACTTTCTGCTGTAAGCTGTTGGGGAGATTCATCAGTTGGAAATGGCTGAGAAGAAAGACGTTGAATGTGCTAGCTGAGCACAGGATGATTGTGATTCACTAATGCATTGGTTCGTGACCTTCTTAGGCTTACAGAACCCCCATAACTTTCCTGAATTTAGCATCACCTAATTTTTTTCCAGGATGTATGTGTGGGGCCACACCAGGAAGTGGCTGTAGCAGGAGGGACACTTCTGATTTAAACCTAATGCAGGAAGAAGCATGCCTCCCCATACTCTCAAGTGTGCGGGCACTGGCATCACTAGAGAGATCAGGTTAAACTGCCCTGCACTTGTCTTTTCAGGCAGTTTGTGGGGCTAGACCGGGGTGGGCAAAATGGTGGATCTGGCTGGCAGCTGTACTCCGTTTCCCAGCAGCTGCTGCCCATATTGCTGCAGCTGGTTTCCATGGAGACCCCAGGGGCAGCAGCACCCTGACAGCTCAGGGCCAGGTTTTCCATGGAGACCAGCTCCAGCAGCACGGGCAGGGTGTGCGGTTGGGTGGGGAGCTACTCTGGGGCTGGAGCTGGGATCTTGCAGTGGTGATAGTGCGGTCTGTAGCTGTGGCAGAGCTGCGATCTGCTGTCTGTATGCTCCTGCCCCTGGGGCATGCAGGGGCAGTGGATCACAGCTCTGCCCCGGCTCTGGACCGCCCCCTCTGCTGCAGCTGGTTTCAATTCAAACCCAGTGCATGCCTCTTGGAAACAGTCACACAGGGCATTTTCACTAGCACCTTGAAAGGGTGTCATGAGTCCTGAAGTACTGATGAGTCTGAGGAGCATATTTTACTAGGAGAGTTTGCCTTCTTTAGCCCCATGAAATGTTTTGGAAAGAGGACATGATTATGATAAGAGGACAGTGGTGGCACAAATAGTTGGATATTAACTGGCCAGGAATAAAACTCTCAAGTCACAGCCCTCCCTGGCCCTATCAGAGCCCCTTACTCCCAACCTTCAGGTGCCCCACCACTGCTGCAGAGTAGGGAGGGCAGCTGCAGGGTGGGGCATATGGCCTCTGTCACTTGTCCCCACTGCAGCCTCTGCCTCCTGCCTGCTCCCCAGGTAGGGGCTGGAGCCTTCATGTGGTTTGGGAGGGAGCTGCACCTGCTAGTAAGTGGTTTGCGGGGTGCAGGGAAAGGAGAGCGGTTTGTGGGCAGGCAGCTGCTGCACCTTTGACTCTAGCCCCATCCCAGGCTTTGCCTGCTGCCTGGGGCAGAGATGCTATTAAGATGACTGGAGGGTATGGCAGGTGTGGAGCTCTTCAGCAAAAGAGTGAGTGAAACCATCCCCTGCTTGTAAGACATGAAGGGCATGCTGAACTCTCAAGGGTTTTATACACCAACCTATTACACAAAGCTTAAAAACTGGCTATCAGTATCGGCCCCCAGAATCTCTATTGGTGTACCCCTACATGTTACTCTAGTGCTCCAGGGTCTGCCCTGGTTTCTAATGGCTTTCTTGGCATGATTCAGGTTGCTAGTGTTCTAGCCTATAAGGCCCTAAATGTTCTGGGTACTATGTACCTTTCTCCCTTATGCCCCATCACAGTGCCTAAGGTCAACCAAGAATAAACTTCCTGCAGATACCATCACTGTACCAAGTTTGCTTGGTGACAACACGTGAGAGGTCATACTTGGTAGTTGCTCCTCAGCTTTAGAGCTTCCTCCTTCCTTGAGGGCTAGCAGTCTGAACTTGTATATCTTCTAGAAACACTATAAGACCTTCCTATTTGGGTAGGTGTTTAGCAACTAAGGGTAAGCTGGGGGATGTTGTTTAGAGACTTTGTTATATTTTATTTTAACATTGTAAGTTATGTTTCTTACTGTAAGCTGCCCTGAGTCTTTGTGGAGAACATCTGCATATAAATCTAATGAATACTGGTAAATCAATTCTATCCTGGACTTAAGGAGAGTGAACAGATGGTTTGGACTACTTCAGGTTGAGGATAATAATTTGCCACAACCATTTTATCTCCTTTGGTTTACAACTGCTATTTGCTAGTGTGGAGGTACATCTGAAGTTACTGCCCAAGGGTTTTTACAGAGTTTCACTAGAGTAAATAAATCTACTTGATTTGTATTCTTCCTTAACTCTGACTACTCAAGAGCAGGCTCATCCCTGCACAGTTTAGATGTTTAAAAGACTCTTGCCTTTATTTACAAGAATTAGACCTTTCAGGAGGCCGCCTTGGTGCTCATAGCCACAGCAGAGAATGGATTTTGGATTACATCACGGATATATGAGAGCCAAGGTAGAGCTTCCAACAGTGGTTAGAGTACAGTACATCTGTTATCTCTCTCTAGAAGTTATACATGCAAACTATCTTTATTTGTATACCACATGCACCTTTACCAAAAAAATTGACTGTCCAAAATTGGGGCGAGTGTTTTAAACAAGGAAGCTGATTTCTCTGCCATGTCATTGGCAGCTGTGACCAAAGTTAAAGCTTGAGTTGCAAAACTTGAAAGGAGAAGAGTGAATGATGCTGAAGAGTAGATTCTGTCCTTGATGCACGTGGCCTGTATTCAACCATAACCCTGGAAAAAAAAAAAAATTTCCTTCATTCTGTCTTCCCCAAAAAAATGTGCATGTCTTATTTGGCAGGGTATAGTGTGTGAGAAAAATACAGTATTAGTAAGGCTTCTGTCTGGAGCTCCATCCACAGTTTCATCAAACAGCATGTTGTTGTTGAAGCTTTCAAATAAGATGATGTAGTTGGGAAAGTGATCTTGAAGTTGCTGTTTCCCTGGGATGCTGAGATCCTGTCTTGTGTGAACTGGGCATTGCTTGAGCCACCTGTAGTGGAATGTGCATGTGGGCAGCTGCTTGAAGGAGAAGGATATTCATTATCATAGTAAATGGAGGCTTTTTTGAGATCGTGTTGGCCGTTTTCATACTCCATGTTGTACCCTGTATCCTAGGGATTGGCAACCCCCCTGGCACTCATGCCAGTGCATGGCATGCAAAGGCATTTTGCTTGGCATATGCACCTCGGGGCGGACAGCAGGAAAGGGTCTGGGGCTGCACTTGCACAACAAGGATTGGGTCCCTTGCAGGTCCCCTCTCCTCTGCCTGGAGGTGCGCTTGTACCTGCTGCCAGCAATGAGCTGGGCCGGGGCTCTGTGGACCCCAGTGCAGCGGCTTGCCACCTCCTGGGAGTAGCCAGGGCGCCGTGGTGGATGGCAGGGTCCTGCTCAGAGTCTGGGTTGGCTCTGGCAGGTGGCTGGGAGGATAAAAGCCTCTCCACCAAGGTCTGTGGAGCTCTAGCCCAGCTAGTTTCTGGTGGCGGGTGCATGCACGCCTCCAGATAGACAGTGGGGAAGGGGCTGGGGCTGCACTGCCACAGCAAGGTTCAAGCCAACATCTTACAAGTCAAGGATGGGGTGTTTTTGGCACTCTGCACAAAAAAAAAAAAAAATTGCCCATCCCTACTCTGTCCCATCTTCCTGGGAGTTCCATGCATCTTGGGCCTCTGCAGTTGCAAGGAAACTGAAAGCAAGAACATTTGTAGTAGTTTGTATGCTATTAGCATACAGCATGAGGAATAACGGGGCTAAATAGTAATCTTGGGGCACAAGGATGTGTGTATAGGCAATGCATCTTAAATACCATCAAAGAAAAATTATTTACTAAATTAACATTTGAGGAGAGAATCCATCTTTACTCTTGACCCCAAAGAGTTTAATGTGTATACAATGTAGTTCTATTGTTTTCCAGGCTCCTGTGTAAAAATATTAATAGTCTTGAGAGAATTCTGTTTAGATCGGATGCTAATGTTCTGGTCAAATCCTTGATCTATCAGGTATGCAGTCTTGAAAAATCTTATTTAGGAATTCTACTTTTTGCAAACTTAAGAGAATTTAAAATGTTATAAACCGGATTACTGCAGTTACTTTTACTGTATCATACTGGATGCCCTAATAATCAAAATAATTTATTTTAAATACCAGTGATTTTTTTGTGTTTTGTTTTTTTGTTTTGTTTTGTTTCCCAATTGTTTTAAATCTCAGAGTTGTTTTTTTTTTAATACTTATGAAAAATGTAAGGAACAAAATAAACATCTCAGTCCTTGCCTGGAATTATCATGCTATTGCTTTCTAAGCTTTCCCTCCTGAACAGGCACTGTGTACTCATTGTACAGAATTTTATTAATGTAAAGATTAATGGAGCGCACTTTTTAAAAACTTCTGATGTAAGCATAGCTGGGGTGCAAAGTGTTTCTAAGTGTTAATGCATTAAAAGCCTTCTTAAAAGTCCATTGAAAACAACTGAGATTCTCTTGTTTCAATGGTATTTTGGTCAGGACCAAAATCTGCTACTCACCAGGGAACTTGCTTCATGCAGTGACACAGACAAACATTTGAAAATATTTTTTTATCTTACTCTAAGTGAGGAAAAATAACTTGTTTCTCTTTTAATTTCTACAGAAGAGTAGCAGCTCCGAATCCTTAAGTGACAAAGGTTCTGCTGAACTGAAGAAAAGCTTTGATGCAGTGGTATTCGATGTCCTCAAGGTTACTCCAGAAGAATATGCTGTAAGAAATTAATAAATTAGCTTTTTGTAGGAATACTTGTAAGACAACTTTCTTATCCCCCTCCCCTGCCATCTACCCTATGTTCCTTCCCCTTACAAACACCGCTTTAAAAAAAGAGGGGGAGAGGCAGGGGAGCCTGAGAGTCTCTTGTGGTTCTGTTGGGTGCATATACTGTTTGACCTAGAACAATTTAGTCCAAAGGAGATTAATTTGTCCTTTATTCTTGAGATTTTCATGTGCAATATAGCTTGATCATGGAGAAATCCTTAAATCTGTAAGACTTTAATTTAATTCTGATAGGGCTGTTAAGAAACTCCTCTCTTCCTGTCTCCCTCATTTTAGCAGCAGCCATAAATCTGACTTTATTTCCACTTAGGGTATTTAATAAACCTTGTTAATAGCTTAAAGAACCTTTTGGTGGAGCCTATTAGTGAAACTGCAGCTTATTGCCATGTGACACAGTTGGATTCAAAACTAGTGTCCTGGCTTTCAGAGATCAAATAACTTGGCAAATAACTTTGTGTGTACACTTGATGGGAAATCCTGCTAATGTAGAATGCAATGGCACAGCCATCATAGCTTTCATTGAATCCAGAATTTTGCTCTTTCTCTCTAGGTGTAAGGTAAGGTCTCATTCCTATGTCTGATATGGTGTGACACTGGGAAATTTTTTCATAGTTTTTTTTTTTAAACATAATTTATCAGTGGTGTCTTGAATTTTAAGGGCAGCAGTACTAGGTAGAATGCAAACTGCTTGTCATCTTTTATAATAGCCTTGTTGAATATAAATGTTTTGCTCTCTATATATTCTGGCTGATTCCTTTTTTTGACTGCTGTCAGTGCTGGCAGAATAGCTTGTATTACCTATACATCAGCCCTTTAACAGAAACAACCTTTCATCCCGTCTGAAAATCTGGAAGGACTTCTGGAACCAGCTGGAACAATTGGGTTGAATATAGCTATATCTAGTCAGGTTGGAAGAAAGTGACAAGCTTTATTTTACCATGTATCCTGTGATAAATAACAAAGCCCTGCTTTCACTAGCTTATAGTGGCTGCAGCTATACAGTTTGCATAGGTGACAAAGTGCATTCCGCTTCTTCCTCCCAGGAAGATGGATAATCTGTTCCAATGATTAACCATCATCATAGTGAGAGAGCTCTTCTGAATTTCTAATCTAAATTTTCCATGTTGCAATTTAGGGCAGTTACTTTTTGTCCTGTTTCCTGCAGCCACTGAGAATGGTCTGTCACCATCCTCTTTAACTGCAGCTATCAAATCCCTCCTTCAGTCTTGTCTTTTCCAGACTAAACAATCCCAGGTCTTCCAACTCTTCCTTGCAAGTCGTGTTTCCTAGACTTGTAATTCTTGCTGCTCTCCAGTGGATTCTTCAGTTTATCTGAGCATTGAAATGTGCCCCAAACTGGACACAGCATTCCAGATGGGGCTTTACCAATGCCAAAATAACCAGGAGGATCACTTGACTTGCAAATGTCATTCCAGTAATACAGCCCAGTATGTTTGCAACCAGAACATATTTGAGAAATCATCCACTTCAACCTCACCCACAACAACTTCACTTTTAACAACCAGCACCTTCCTCCAAATTATGAGCACAAAGATGGCTCCCAATATGCCAACTTCTTCGTGAACCACCTACAAAAGTAATTCTTAAAGCTGAACTACTGGGCCTGTACTATACCTGTATTACATAGATATTTTTATTATCTGGACTGTGAACACCTGGACTCCCTTACTGACTTCCACCAAAAGTTCAACTGCTACCACCACTTGATTAAATTCTCTCTGGAATACTCTTGCATTAAGGAAGAACATGGTATGGAAGGACTTCCATATGAGGAGAGACTACATAAGTGAGGACTTTTCAGCATAGAAAAGATGCTTTTGAGGGGACACATGATAGATATTTACAAAATATTAAATGGTTCAAAAAAAGAAAATGGGAATGTATTAGTTACTATCTCATAGTGGAGGATGTAATGAAAATGATTAGGTAGCAGGTTTAAGACTACCTACAAGGAAGTTCTTTTTCATGTTGCATGTAATTAACTTTTGAAACTCAAAATTAACTTTTGCCACAAGATGTTGTGACGGCTAATAGCTTTAACCAAGTTCAAAAGGGGTTTTAACAAAATTCATGGAGGAAAGGACCATCAGTAGGCATTGGACATAGTATATAAGGGTGAGGCCTCTGAATCAGAACTTTCTAAATCTCTGAATACTGGAAGCTGCAGTGAAAGAGGAGCAGGGTATAGAACATTTTGGATATGCCATTTACCCTCCCCCCTCAGCATCTCTGCTTCTCATCCTGTGTGAGACCAGATATTAAACTAGATTACCTATGGCCTGACCCAGTAAATGGTAGTTCTTATGTTGGCTTCTTTGCTGTCTGTACCAAAAAGTTATTCCTAACATACTCCAGAAACTTGCTAGACTGCTTAAGCACTGCTGCATTTCATTTCCAGGAGATACCATGGTACTTAGTCTCCTATCAGCCCCAGGTCCTGTGACTTTTTTTTAAATTTGTTTTTAAGTACTTTGATAAGTGACTTGAAAAAAGCTTCATTCACCTCCTGGTTTGGTAGTTTATCCTGTACACACATTGACTTTGACCCAGAACCTTTAACAGGTCTGCCTGCACTTATTGTACCTTGGAACAAGTGTATATCTCTCTCCCACCTGTCTTCTTGAACAAATTGATCCTATTGATGACAGTATTCCAGACATGAACTATCCCACCAAATCTCAACTATCCCAATTATGTTGTACTTCTGTGATTTGTACTAGGACTCCTGGTTCTTCTTGCTTATTTCTCATGTTTCTTGCATTACTGTATAAAAATCTTAAATGGCTAGCCAATTGCCATGTTAATCTGAGGTGGTAGTGCATTTAAACTGAAGAAATCTCCTCTCCATAGCTTAAATTTCTGCCCAAGGTGGCTACTGATCTGAATCTCCACCAGTTCTTTGTTCATTTATTCATTTACTTTATCTGATTTATTTTCCAGGCCTCGCATACACTGGAGCAAATTGGAACACCAAACATTAGATGCCAAAAGCAGTCTAGCATTTTATTTTAAAAGGGCCAGAATCTCTATGAAGCTTAAGGTCTTTAAAAAGGTTACAAAAAATTACTTTGATGACGGTCACAGTATTTGCTTTCATTGTTTGTCCAAATATCAAGCTATGTACTAAAGAGAGCTACTAGCTGGCCTCTGTCCCCTTCCTGTGTGAGTTGAGAAAGTTTGAAAACCACTCTCAAGTCATGGAACCCTTTCATATCACTTCTGCCACAGAACCCCGTACCCTTATCCTGTGATCAGATGCGGAACCAGGCAACCCAGCCTGGCAATGGCAGCTCCATTGCCTTCTGGCCCACTCCACAGTTATTCCCAGTTTTTTTTGCTGAACACCTGATGGCCTTTTCTGGAGCCCCGGGGTTTTGCAGAATGCAGGTTGAAAGTCACTAGGTTAAGATTCACTCTTTTGCATACATTATTGCCTCTATTGTTGAAATTAGTAAAGCTGCAATTTAAAACAATATAGGCTGCTCGCAGATGTGGGGAGAAAAAACAAACTCAGTGTGCTTTACTGGAAGAAGCAGCACATTAGTTTGACTTGGTTCTGCAGTTCCTGTATAGATGGGGCGCTTCAGCGGGGCTTTTTGGCGCTTTTATCTAATATCTTATTCAACTAGCTTTACTAAAGCGCCCGATCTATACCGGTGTTGCAGAGCTGGGTCGAACTAATGCGCTACCTCTTCTGGGCACGTGCTGGGGCCTGGCACGGGAACGTAAAGAGTTTAAAGCACATTTTCCCCCCTTTCACGTTTGCAAGCAGCCATATGTATTAAACATTGCTCTCAATTCAGATCCAGGGCATAATTTTTGGCAGAGTTGTATTTTAATTACTGCTTATTAGAGCTCCCTGTTGCAGTACAACTGGCCTAAGTGTTGAAAAGTGTAGCAGTTGATAAATAGGTATTACTTCCCTGTAATTGGGATTCTTCAAGATGGATTTTGCAGAGTCAGTCTCCTTGCCCACCTTCTCTTCTGTAGAATCCAGTATTAAAATTGCAAACCTGAAGAGGAGGTGGAAGAAACTGAGCCATCGCTTCTCATATAGTCTCACCCTCAGACTGTTCAAAAACAGAATGCTCTCACTTACAGCTGTGCTGCAACAGTTCATTAAATTTGAATTGTTGGTGCAACCCCAGTAGTGTGAAAGTGTAGTCAGTTTTAAGGAACTCCGGTTACAGGTAATTAACTTATTTCTAACTACCTGTATATGGGCCAAGATAGTCTTATTAATATTGGAGTCTGGGATCATTGTTCAGAACTAGGGCATAGACCTATCTCCATCTGAATCTATGAGCTGTCACCCTATCACCCTAGCTCCTGATAAAGTAGTAGAGTTCTGTAGCCATGGTGAATCTAAGCAGGTTGTTTTGTGATGTTTTGACATTTTGGAAGTCACTTCTGAGAATAAAGCCAAGGAGAAATGCTTTGCAATGTAGGGCAGACCACCCCATGAGGAGTCTTTCACCTGCATCTCATTAAACTGCTTCTCCCCCCTCCCGTTTGGTTTTGACTTACTAAATGTACTGTGATGGAATGTATCTGTATTTAAATTGAGACTTTGCCAAAGCTGACCTTTTGTTTCTGCAGTTGAATTTCTACAGACATTTTTAAACCCCAACTTCACCTTCAGTTAAAAAAGCCTTTTCAGTGAAGAATTTTGCTATTTTCCTGGCAAAGCTGATCAAAACTGTTTGTTATTGCTGTTTGTTTTAACTCTGAGTTCTTTGTGTTTGTTTGTACATGAATGTCACAAACCCATCTGTGGATGGCCCCAAATTATTTCCCCTACTGTGCTGCCACTTATCCCAAGGCAATTCTAGTCTGTTCCTTGGGGCAACTCCTTAACCCAGCAAACCTCGGTTGTACTGCCTGTATACCAGACCCTGTAGCCACAGTGAGGA